TCTTCATAGGACTGGAGTAGGAACAACAGAGCATGGACAGAGTTCTGACTCCTGTCCTCTGAAGATACCGGCCACGGAGACTGGCGAAACGTTAGGAAGAACCACCTTTAGAACACGTCCAAAGAGCTCGAAAAACCCACAACAACCATTAGACCCCGGCCATGAAAGCCTTCACAAATACATTGAAACACTCTAACTTAGTGATCTTTTTCGTCCTGCAGTGTTCCTGAATGAATTTTCTTAAAATTGACTGAAAACATTGTAAGTCACACTAGAGTTGGGTTATTGAAACAGTGGGGATTTGGTGAGTCAACTCATCTCTAAATTCCATTAATTCAAATGGCTTGCTCTAATTGTGACTTCTGGTGTGAAAGTTAAGTCATAACTAGAGTAGGCCCATTTGAATGAACAGAACCTATGGAGGTGTTGATGCAACAAATCCCCACCGATTCAATGGGCTTTCACTAGTGCGACTTACTATGCTACGCAATAGGATTTCAGCCAATAAATAATAAGGGGGGGAAGGAAACTGACAAAGGCCGGAATCCTGTTACATCTTTCCACTTGCCTGACACTCAGCTGAGTAGTTACAGAGTCTGTGTAAGAAGGTATCCAGTATGTAAACGGAAGCCCAGTTTGTATTGATGGGTGCTCTCTGCAGTCTTTACCTGTGAAACAGAATGTGTTGAACTATGGCGGTGGAACGTAACAATGTTTCTGCACAATCGTGTGCCAAAAATTTCTCCCATGAGAATTTCAATCATTTTCATTCAACTGGATGGAAAATAAATGCCCCTTGAAAAAGGCTTGCAAAGAAGGGTCTGTTTTATAAGAATTTGTGGTAGAGACACCAATTCTTATGAAATATCTGCTTCTCTGCAAACTAAATACAATGATCCCTCATTTTCAGGGAAATTGCTGAACTGTAGGGAATCCTAACTAGCGCTGTGCCAGAACTCTTCTCAAGACATTTTTTGAGCATCTTTCCGAGATCTCTCTGTATTTCTAGGTGACTGAGAAAAAAGATTTGCAGAATTATTTCCTAAATCCGCTTCCCGGTCTTTGTTTGCTGGCCACCTCCCAGAATGCCCCAGAGTGGCGCTCGTTAGAGGAAATAACGAAGGAAGCAAAATGATGGCCAGGCTGCCGTTACTGTTGTTGTAACCACTTGCAGCATCAATGCAAAAACCAAAAAAAAATTGTGCAGGGAGAACCCTACGGATTTGTGCTGAAAATGGGTCATAGCTCAGAGAAAATTAGTGGGGAATTTCTCTTTCCTCTGGAGAATAATGCCAGAATTCTGCCCCTAATGGCTCAGCCTACAAATAGGATGAGTTTGTAGACAGCTATACCCCTGTAGAGTAATTCAAGGCTGAGATCATAAGGTCAGCAGTGCAGTCTGCCAATAAACAGCAAATAATCCCAACACTAGGAGCTCATAAACATGTGCAGCTACAGCTGGAGCAAGACTACTTTGGGTTCTAATTTATCTGCAGCCCATTCAATCAAACTAAATGGGCTTGCACTGGACTATATGCTGAGTTATGGTTAACAGTGATTGCTCGCTAAAATACCTTGATGTAAGTCAAGGATCCACAGACTTCAATATATTGATCCTTCCATGGTCTGTGCTTTCAACTCTACCTTGAAAACAGTGTCAACCATTTTAATTATTACAGCTCATCTCAAGGAAAACTAGAAATTAAAGTAATGTAAGGGAGGCACTAAAGACCCAGCCCAACCCAATTACTGGTGTTTCTCAATGAAAAGCTAGTCATTTATACACTGATTCCATTTTAGACATTTATATCGTTTTCTTTGCACTAGGAAGCTCAGAGAGGCTAGTAACATCGCGATGCAAGTAATCAAGTTTATGTCCGACAGCTGGAGAAAACAATAACAGAATCAGCAAACAGAACAGATTGTCAATTCAGCTCTTCCGCAGTTGCCAAAATGCTTTGAGTTGTTATTGGTTGGTTGGGGATGTTTGCAATTTGACGAAACTGACGCAGGCTTCACCACAAAATGGCCACCATGGGGACACGGCTGGTCACCAAATGGCTGCTTACAGGGCCTGCCCCATTAGAAAGGACCAGTCGGCCATCCAAGAAACTGAGGAAAAAGTGAAATGGGGAGGGCAAGCGTCCCAAAGACCAAACAGTATTTTTGAATACACTTTGCACAACAAAACTATATTTTTTAGGTAAAGGTTGCCCTTGACATTTAGTCCAGTCGTGTCCGACTCTAGGGTGCAGTGCTCATCCCCGTTTCCAAGCCGTAGAGCCAGCGTTTGTCCAAAGACAGTTTCTGTGGTCACGTGGCCAGCGCGACTAGACACGGAAAGTTGTTACTTTCCCATCAAGGTGGTACCTATTTATCTACTGGCGTTTACATGCTTTCGAACTGCTAGGTTGGCATTTCTTAAGAAACATTTAAATTATGTTTGGAGAATGTTAAATAAATAAATAAATAAATAAATAAATAAATAAATAAATAAATAAATAAATAAATAAATAAATAAATAAAGGGGACTGATACGCTTTTGTAGACATTCACAATCCAGACCCTGCCTTGCCTTCTGTCCTGATCTTCGCTGCTGATGTCTTGCTGCGTATGTCTCTTGAACTACTTAACTCTGCTTTTTGGACTCTCCGTTTTCTGATACTACCTGTTACGCTTTTGTAAACATTCACAATCCAGACCCTGCCTTGCCTTCTGTCCTGATCTTCGCTGCTGATGTCTTGCTGCATATGTCTCTTGAACTACTTAACTCTGCTTTTTGGACTCTCCGTTTTCTGATAGTACTTGCCTCGTTTAACTTTTGAATGGTTCATGGACTTGGATTCAGACCTTTCTCTCACCCATTCCCCCCAAAAAACATGGCTTACTACTTGCTGGTAGGACTCTTGTTAGATGCGTGCCTGTTTTTCGATCTGGCCTGCATAAGCTTTATCCCTGCGGTCAGCGTGCCTACCTCATCAAGGTTACCATTACTGTTGGCAATATGTAAAGCACTGGCAACGTAGAACTTGCAGATGTTACCTTTTTGGGAGGTCAATCCCATAATGCCCCAGCCATCATAGCTATTGGTCATGCTAGCTGGTGCAAGGAGGAGAGGGTTTATTGGGAATTGTGGGGAAAGGTTACGTATCGGGGTTCTACCGCAGCACAACAGAATTGGAGAAAAAAATACTTCAACGGCAATCAAGTTTTTAAAACCAATATTGCACAACTCAAAAAGGGATGTCATTTTAATCGTAAAGGCCATTAAATGGAACTTGTTCAAAATGTGGAGGTGGTCTGCTACTATAAAAGCAATAGCTTTCTGTATCTAAGTTGTTGTCAATGTAGGAGTTTGGGGTGACTCCGTGCAATCACTCTTCCTTTAATAGAATGTCATGTTAACATTTAAAATAAAAGATTGCTCCAATATGTACCTCTGAGTCAGCTTAACAGAAGGAAAGTCTAGGCAAAAAGCTAGTGTTTCATCACAGCTGTTTTGAGCACCACAGGCTACTCATCTGTCACAGTCAAAAGCTGTAGCAGCGTAATTGTAACTCATCTTGTTCTGAATATTGAGAAGAATCACCAATGGCTCTGGATAATTGTCTTCCCGTTGCTCCTTATCTTGATTAAAACCAAAGTCTGAAAATAAGGATTAAAATATTGCTGTCCAAATGTTCAGGAAGCATGCAATGGAGATGAAAGCACTTTACAATTGTGTTTTCCCTTATCTCTGCTACACGTTGCAGAAATCTGTGACACTTTCTCACTCTAAATAACATGGAATGAAGAGAAAGCAAAGCCCACATGGTCTTTTCAGCTACATCTGGCACGACACTAGAGTGCCAGACCCTTGCTATGAAGGATCAGCCAAGCTTCTTATCTCCCTGCTGTCTGTCCAGGTCACAGAACTGCTTTTTAGTCTTCTCCCCAAGTCTGTCCAGCCACCTGTCTCCTGCCATGGCTTGAATATGACTTTAGCTTTTACAGTAGCTTCCTGTCTAGGCTTGCATACACTTCACATCGGTAACTGTCCTTGCAAGACCTTGGATAGAGCCAACCTAACAACCATCATTCTCCTTCATTTTACAACCACATGGTCTGTTCGGCTACATCTGGCACGACACTGGAGAGCGCCAGACCCTTGCTATGAAGGATCTCCCTGCTGTCTGTCCAGGTCACAGAACTGCTTTTTAGTCTTCTCCCCAAGTCTGTCCAGCCACCTGTCTCCTGCCATGACTTGAATATGACTTTAGCTTTAGCTTCCTGTCTAGGCTTGCATACACTTACCACATGGTCTGTTCGGCTACATCTGGCACGACACTGGAGAGCGCCAGACCCTTGCTATGAAGGATCTCCCTGCTGTCTGTCCAGGTCACAGAACTGCTTTTTAGTCTTCTCCCCAAGTCTGTCCAGCCACCTGTCTCCTGCCATGACTTGAATATGACTTTAGCTTTAGCTTCCTGTCTAGGCTTGCATACACTTCGCATCGGTAGCTTGAATATGACTTTAGCTTTTACAGTAGCTTCCTGTCTAGGCTTGCATACACTTCACATCGGTAACTGTCCTTGCAAGACCTTGGATAGAGCCAACCTAACAACCATCATTCTCCTTCATTTTACATCCATTTTACCTCTTAGAAAAGAACCAACCTGTGATCCGAAATCACCCAGTTTATACAGTGGACCCTCTACTTACGGAATTAATCCATATTGGAACGGTGGCTGCAGGTCGAAAAGTCTGTAGGTCGAGTCTCCATTGATATACAATGCATTGAAAACTGATTAATCCCATAACTGGCAACACCAAACAATGTCACCTGTAAGTCCAATAGAGTCTGTATATCCATGCTGGATGGGACGACAAGAGAGTGGAACTAAAAACTGTGAATGCAACAGAATGCAGAGGAATAATCTGACAATATGTCATTTTATGAAAGGAAAAAGATGCACGATTATAAAAGATCATTTTATTTCACATAATTCTCTTTTTTTAAAAAAAAAATGAGGCAGCCCATTCTTACATGGATTAAGCAAATGAAGATGTTCAAACAAAAACAAAACAAGAGACAAGAGTCTCTGCATGTTGTTGCCCCAGGAATTTGGAGTCTTTCCAAGATACACAGACATATGAACTGAACGCAGACTTTTTATTTCTAGTAATAACATATACTCTTATGAGCCAAGAGGGGTGTTGCTGGGAAAGATGTCGGCATAATCACCTAACAGCTCCAATACTGAAGTGGAGTATACTTCAAGACTGCCCTGTTCAGAGTTTCACTGAAGTAATTCAGATACACAGTCAGTTTCGCTTCTTTATGGGTTTGTACAAATAAAAAATACATTTGTGCTGACACTCCAGTTAACTGGACTTCTGCATTTCTTCTTTATCAGAATCCCCGTCTTCTTCCTTTGCTTCCTCTTGTACCTTATTTTCCACTTTTTTCACAGCTCCTTCAGAGAGAAAGGGTTCAACCTTTATCTGTAAGCCTTCGCTGGATTGACTTTGAAGAAACAAAGATGTCACAAAGGAGCCTTTAAATTAAAATAAAAAGAGAGGGAAGAAAAATCTGAATCATTACCGCTCCGGGCAACTGCCTGGTATAAAATCATGGTGTAAAATCTAATGCCTTTGAAGTGTCATAAAATATTAAGAGCCTCATCTAGCCAACAGTAAGCATTTTTGGGGGCCTCAAAAATTTCAAGTGCAGGAGATTTAAGCATGTACTTGACTTTCAAACTGAAAATCAATATGATTAGAAGTTCTTAAGTTTGGTTGAGTTGTAGCCTCCATTTGTAATGACATGGTAAGAATGGTTTCCTGCAACTGCTGAAAGGTAAAAAAAAAATTGTGATCCAGACCTCAGTACCTGCGGACAGGTTCAAACTGTATCTAACAGATGCCACTTTGCCCCCTCCACTGCAGGTAAGAAGTCCTGCTAGTAAACCTCATTTGCAGGATTGTAGCTGATTGGTTTTCCTGATGTTGTGCTAATAGTATTTGGATTAAATACATATATAAATATAAATTGCCTTTCTTAACAAAATCGAGGAGGGTTGTTTCAATCATATGGAGGCTTGGGGTCTTTGACACAGCAGTTTGCAGGATGTAAGGTACAAGAACACTAACACACAAGTATGGCTAATTGTTATGTGCATGATCTGCTTTAAACACAGGCTCATGCATTTCACACATACACACACCTTCCCTTTAGGAGTTTGGAGATATTTTAAAGCTTCAATTCGCAGTTCAGATGAAGCACAGCTAGCTGTTGTATTTGAGCTCAGTAAACTCTGACTTACTCTGTGGTTTAAACCCTCCTCTTACTTAAATTGTAGCTTGAATAGACATCTTGAATTTCCTCCTCTCATGTGCAAAGGGAAAGAAGAAGTGCATAATCTTGATGGATTTTGCTGGCTTCATGAATGTTACACAAGCCGATAGTTACTACCTTTGTGGACTGAGATTCCAGGGATACTACTAGATCCTGGTATAGCGTCGTCGTTCCCCCCCCCCCGGTTCATATACAAGCCCAATCAGAAGATTGTTAAGGCTGTGTGTGTTGATTGATTGATTGATTGATTGATTGATTGATTGATTGATTGATTGATTGATTGATTGATTGATTGATTGATTGATTGATTGAGAGAGAGAGAGAGAGAGAGAGAGAGAGGTCTACTCTGAGCGGCTAACATTAATGGATAAAATACAAACAATATAATGAAATAAAAAAACAACAGTAGTAAAGTAGTTCAAGATGGGAAAAAATATTCAAGTGATGACAGGAGGGAAACCCTGCCTAAAGAGCCAGGTCTTAATTTGGCTCTTAAAAACACCCAACGATCTCTGAAGGGAGACTGTTCCAAAGGCGAGGGACCACTGCCGAGAAGGCCCAATTTCTTGTTATTTCTCTCCAGGTCTCCCTTGGCGTTAGGCCCCTCAGCCGCCCCTCCTGGCTAGAATGATTTGGGAAGATCTAGGTGGGAGGAGGCCCTCCGCTAGATATCGAGGTCTTAAACCGTTTAGGGCTTTATATGTTATCATTAACACTTTGAAATCAATGCAGAAACGAATGGGCAGCCAATGCAAGGCAGCCAGAGTGGGGGAAATATGCTGCTATTTTCTCGTCCCATTGAGAGGTCTGGCCACTGCATTATATATCCTTAACCTATAATATCAACTTTCTTTGAGAGTAGTTCTAAAGGCAGCCTTCCATAAACTGGATCCTCCAAATTTTGGCCAAAATCTCCCAACCACTTGTAATGCTGGGTGGAGGATGATGGGAAATGGAGTTCCAAGCCCACTTGGAGGAACCAAGTTGGACAAAATATTGTCCTGGGGCAAATTCAAAACACTTTTATGGTCAAGATTGGCCTGATCACTATTTTAAATTCTAGGGAAAGTGTGTGAGTTACGTGCATAACCTTGCCCTATGCACGCTGAGGAACACCATTCTCCAGATTTTCAGAGAGTGGATGTAGATAAATATTTAAACATTAGGGGGAGTAAGCTATTTGGATTAATATATACTATCTTTTTTCCAAATACACTAATACAGTGGTGCCTTGTATAACGAGTGCCCCGTTTAATGACGAATTCGCATAGCGATGGCAAAAATGCCATCGCTTTTGCGATCGTATAACGAAGGTGCCTATGGGGAAAAATTGCTTTGCGATGTTTTCCCCATAGGCACCATTTTCCCCCAGCTGAGCGGCGGGAGCCTCCGAAGGAGCGCTCCCACAGCTCAGCTGGAGGAAAATGCCTGTGGTGGCCTTGGAAGGACCCTTCTGAAGGGTCCTTCTGAGGTCACCGCTGGGATTCCCCTTCCCCGCGGCCGGCTTCCCCGGCCATGGTCAGACTCTCAGGAGTCCGACCATGCCTGGGGTAGCTGGCTGCGGGTCA